GGGGTGCACCTAGGCAAAGTAACAGGATACAATCTAAATCAAAACAGTTCGCATATAACTACTGATCGCATATAACTACACATATGGATTCAAACAAAACATTTAATATATTTATAATGTATTGAAATGTTTGTAAGCATGATAATTGAATCCACGTTTTTGCTGTTGGATACGTTTTTATATACTACCCAGCACAGCATACTCCACTGAACATTACTGAGCATAGGCAAGTTAAACTCGCGCAACCAGTGTGTAGACTTGCAGAACAAAAGAATGCCAAAGGGCAGCCTTAACCATCCCACGTTATTTCACCTTAATTAGATTGGTGTATAAAATTAGTTTAATACAGTTGGTTCTTTAACAAAATGGTGTTTTAACGGAATATTCAGGCTAGCCTACCCCCAGCTTGTAATTCCAATGGGTCGTATCTTTATAAAAGAAATAAGACGCTTTTTGTTGCCATAAAATCTTTTCATTTCTGATACGCTAGATACAGTTGTATCTGGCATAACAATTTTGTCTAGTCACATCATTGTAAACATAGTCTGGGAATTGTTACATTTTGTTGATACTGTATTACTAGTTCAAAATTTGTAAGACGAAGAAGAGCTGAAGACTTAACACAGACTATCCGGCCCACAACATAGACATATAAATTGACACAAAATTGTTGTACGTACTGTGTAAACATAGTGTTTAGTAAATCTGAGGCAAACTGATTACACCGGTGATTTTTACGTAAAAATGATTGGTGAAAATATTTATTTAGTTCAGTTTACACGGGAAAAAGCTAACGATAAAACAGCTTTTTTCTGAAACAGCAGTCGAATATACCCATTGCATTGGATACAATTTTATTTCTGCTATTTTAAAGTAAAAGTAATTGAACTAACAAGAAATATATTAGTATATACAGTGAGTACATTGGGCAAGCAATTACATCATACCCATATATATTAATAACCTTTTAAATTATTGTTATATAAAGAATGATTACGTGTAATTAAGTTATTTGTCTTGAACAGTACTCTCGTGTAACTAGGTTACGCCACTCGAGAATACCGTCGGGGCCCTCGACGCATATAAATTAGCAATTGCTTCTCTTTTACTGAAGTAGTGTATACTAACACCATAATCCATTCCCCTCGGAACCCTGACCAGAGCTAATTTATGAAATTGAATACCGTAAAACCTTGAATTAAAGTCCTGGGCTTCTTTTTTTGTGAATTTGGATTGGGTTCTTCTCGAGGCTACTTTTGCAAAGTAAAGAGTCAATAGGGCTTCTTTTCAAAGTGAAACTGTAACACCAATCTGTATAATGGAGTGCTGGCATTAAATTACCTTAACTACTGTTTAAACCAAGCGTGTTTTTAATGTGTTTTTCTTTCTCTTTGTTTCTTTGAAATTCATGTACAGTATATATATTTTTTTCAAGATTCAAAATAACTTTATTGCAAACTTAAGGAAAATTTGAAATTTACAGAATAATTAACAGTACTCTACTGTACATCTCGAATAATGCCCATGCTATGGGTTCTTTTTGAGGCTACTTTTGCAAACTATAAAGAGGGGGGCTTATTTCGAGATGGGCTACTTCTCGAGATTAAGCCCATTGTGCATCTATTCGAGATTTTTGCAGTATTCTACAATTAATTATTTAAAGGTAGGAGAGTAACACTTAACTTGCAGCGTCATTGTGCTGAATTCTGTATAGGTGTGGTCCGTGACTACCTAGTAGCCGTAAATAGGCGCTTCATCCATGTTCACATTCCCCAACGATATTGGAAAAAGTATGATACTTCACAAAAATAACTTGAGATTGGGTCTGAATGCATGAGCCTCGCTCCAGATACACAAGACTTCCGAATAAAGCGAGTCCAAGCTGAAACCAATGGGCTAAAAAGGGCCCTCATTCATGTCAGGGTAGACAAAAGGTTTATGTTTAGTTTATTTATGAGGAAACGAATATTAGATGTGTATAAGAGACAGGATTACACCGGTGATTTTTACGTTTTTGTGTGAATCAGTGCATTTATCACTTATTACCTTATTGTTCACTTGTTTATTGCGATTCTTGCTCTCTGCCACATATATACATACTTATATATATATGTATATATATAAGTATATACATACTTATATATATATATATACATACTTATATATATATATATACATATATACATACTTATATATATATACATATATAAACATACTTATATTTATACTTATCTAGGCCTATTTATATATATATATACATATATATATGAATATATATATATTCATATATATACATATATATATGAATATATATATATATATTATATATAATCAATATAAATACAGAAGAAGGGTAAATTTTTTAATATCAGCCGTATGAGAAAAGTATCTGGGAGTGAGATATGCCCCTTTATCGTATAGGATTCTGTGGTGTACTGATTTGACCTACTGATATAACACTGAGATAGTAGGTGGTTACACATTCGAGAAACTTTTTCATACAACTGAAAAAGGAACTTTCATTGGTAGCCATCTTGAAATCCAATATGGCAGCCTTCTAACATAATTTCCTGATGATTGCATGATACTCTCTGATATTAAAAACATGGTTAAAGGTGTGATTGACTGTGTTACGTTACTGTAGATATGAAGATAATGACAAAAATAACAATATTTTGGCAGCCATCTTGAACTCAAATATGGCGGCCATCTAACATAATTTCTGATGATTGCACGGTAATACTCCCTGATATTGAAAACATAGGTAAAGACCTTTGAATGACAGTGCTAGGTGCTGCAGATATGAAGATTATTGATAAAAATCCAATATTTTGGCGGCCATTTTGAATTTCAAGATGGCGGCTACTAAGTGGCTTACTTTTTGGGGTCTATTTTTTTTTAATGATCCTTAGGTGTCATAGTATCACGATGGGAAGTTTCATGCTTTCTTCTAAAAGTGCACGATTCTCCTTAGCCGCTCTACTATTAAGCTTATCAGACTGTAGATCCCCTGACCCCTGCTGGTGCTTGCATTTAGGGAATTATTAATAATGTTATCACTGTTAACAAGTGATATATCATACCATGGAGGTATTAATATTTTGCGTAGTGGCTATGTCTACGCCGAATTATGCAAATCCCAACACGCTGATTGGTCGACTTGACTTTACTCTAACCTTATCTGCCTATCTTAATGCCCTACAGCATGACGTAAGATCGGCGTAGATGCAGCCACTTTGAATATTTTATACCGCCATGATCATACAAACTTTCAACCAGGTGATATGACGTCATTTATTATCAATTATTAACCATCAATGTCAATTGATACCAATGTTGGCGCCACTGTTTGTGAGCGAGCCCTCAATTTGTAAGAAGGAAGAGAGTCTGTCTTTGGTCTTACATTCGTGATGATATCGTACTGGCCATTTAGTCTAACAGTATGACGCTCGCCGAGACAGCATAGGATTTCGGGTTAGAATTCCATCATAGACCTCTTTTTTTTATACAACTTACAAGAAACTTTTCGTTAAACTATGCTTGATACGATTTATTGCATCATATATTCTGTAGGAAAAAAAATATATCTTAAGCAGAAAAGGTGAATTGACAATACTGTAAAGAGTATCTGTATCATATATATGTACCTGATGATGACCTATGGTCGAAAGTACTAGTACAATAAATATTTTATTTTTGAGACAGATACAGAACTTTGTTTGACTTCTTATTTTATATATATATATA